ATGATTTGTTTCTCCAGTACCCCACTCCCAAGGTACCATAATGTATTAGTCTGGGTACTTTGGAGAAACAAATCCACGGCGACTCACGTATAAGAGAGAGTTTAATTAACACAATTAACTAACTCACCCAGCAAGTGGGTGGAGCCCAGCTTCAGAAATAAGTGTGCCACGGCTCCAGAGCCCGCACGTTCCTGACCCCGCGACATCCTCCAGCCGGCATGGAGCTTGCTCGTGTGGCACCAGGAGAACATGATGATCTCAATTTAGCCACAACCAAGAGAAATGCAGCCAGCGTTATGGCCGCCTGACCCAAACTCCTTTGCCGGTGTAATTAACTGCTGGTCTGAAGGTATTGCCTCTTTGACAGGATGAGAGATGATATCACTGCCCTTGCTGAATCAGTCCAATTTAGAACCACAAATTATGCTAAATGTGATGTAAGGCTTTGTTTTGTGGACACAAACAATAAGTCCACACTCAGATTACTAACCGCCTCCCAGCTTTTGGGTATGTCTGGGAATTTTTTTGCTGAAGATTCCAGTCAAGTTAGCGAGGGAAAATTTAGCCAGAAAACCTCTGCACATGTTAAAGCTAAGAGGAAACAAAACATTTGGATCTATATGAAGGGAATCACATTCATTCTTTCAACCAACTATTAGAGAACTAATATATGCACAATACCACACGCTCAGCACCTGATATTTCAATAGTTTTGGGAGAAAGTAAGAGAGGCTTTCCATTTAGAATAAGCAAGTTATAAAAGAAAGGGTGAAATAAGTCAGCTGCAAAAGGCAAGCATTATATAATTCCAGTTATAAATGGGATTAAATATTTAGAATGGGCATGTTTATACACACCTTAGATTATTAGTAGTGGAGGGAGGGATTCTCCTGTTGGGGGCCACTTAGCTTCCACAAAGGGTCATGAAGAATGTTGGAAATGGATAGTGGTGGTCTCTGTACAATGAGTACAATAATATCCCCAAACTGTATACACAATGAATGCTAATATCTTGTTACCTATATACAAGGGGGCTTCAGAAATCCCATGGAACAAGGTCTCCTATCTTTTAATTCCATTTTCCCCTGCGAAATGTGTGAAGCCCCCTTGCATTGACGGTGACGAGAAAGTAAGTCCACACAAAAAGGTCGAAACACCGCAACAGCACCTGTGCTTGCAGAGCGAACCCCAACAGAACTGCCCACGACAAAACAAGCAGTTAACAACCAGACCTCCATTAAGTCCTAAGAAAACCATGTGCATACAAGGCCTGGGCTGTTTTAGCTGCCAGGGTCACCGGTCCCAATACTCTGGGGGGATTTCAGAGCTGTCTCTGTGACAAAGCAGCGAGAAAAAGTACTTGACAAAACAAATCAACACGGAGCATCCACTGATTTCTTTTGGTGCCTTGAAACATTCCTTTTTGATCACGCACCCAGCTTCTGATAGTCAATGCAAGGGCTGAGCACACAGCCAAAACAGGCAAGCCGTGTGGTGGCAGAGGGACCCTGGCCCACTCGGCTCAGCCTGACTCATGCTAACCCTCCCTCTCCCTTAAACCCACTGGGGTTCTCGTTCAACTCACAACCTGAGTCTCCGATTCCCTGAAGGGAAGATTGCACTCTGACTCTTTCTAAGCTTTCTTCTCTCCACTTTGGAGAGTCTATAATCTTAAGAAGAGATGAATTATTAAAATCAAAGGTATTGATTGAAATAGCTCAACAAAAGAGGCCCTCCATTATGAAGCTCAGTCATGTAGAACACTTTGCTTATGACAAAGAAAAAATCTTTATGGCGTGTGGGTTGGGCAAGGTCAGCCGTTCGAAACCACGAGTCATTGCACCGGAGAAGAAGGCTTTCTACTCCTGTAAAAAGGTATAGCATCAGACACAGGTAGAGGCAGCTCTCCTGGGTCACTATGAGTCAGAATGGACTCCATGACAGTAAATTTGACATAGATTTCAGCACCAATTCTTGGCTGGCCAATGCCTATTGTTTTAATTTAGACACTTTCTTTACTAGATTTGGGAGAAAGGTCTCTCAGCACTTTCAGGTATTTCAGGCTCTGAAACATCACATGCTGCTCTGGCCACAGGACCAGATGGCTGTCAGACTCTGCTGGTGCATAAGACAGCGACAACAACGCAGTCGTCTAACCCCTGGGAACTGTGCCTGGTGACTAGTGTCCAAGTCTCTTCTGGGATTTCTGACTATCCAAAGCAACCAACCTAGCAAGATCCTCTTTGCCTTCAAGCTCTCCAAAATCATAGAAGCTGAATGCTATTCAGAAGTTTAGCCCACCCACCAGCCCTGGATTGCCCGAGACTTGGCAATCAGCCACCACGCAGTTTCTAGCTGGGTCCCAACAAGAACCCCGAGGTGTATAAAAGGCTCAGAGGTAGGGGCGAAGAAGGACTCTGATAATATCCCCCATGTTGTTGCTGTTATACTTGTTATTAGTGGTCCTTGCACACTGTTGCTATTCTTGTTGTCAGCGGTCATCAGGCTAGTTCCAACTCAGGGGACCCCATGTACGTGCAACAGAACAGAAGGTTGCTCGGTCCTGCCCCGTCGTCACGATCATTGGTATGCTCAGTCCAGTGGAGCGGCCACTGTGTCCTCTGAGTGATTTCCAACCTAGATGTCTCATCTTCCAGCCAACATCAGACAATGTTCTCCTGGGATCCCTGGAGGGGGAGGGCAGGGGGGCGGTTTACAGGAGAAATTTCAGACGTTGATCACCAGGGCTCTTTCTTCCTTGTCTTAGTCTGGAAGCTATGCTG